ATTGTCTGGAAACAATAGGAAATTATTTTTAAATTGTAGAAATCAATATGCCACAAAAATTTTTGCATTAGGCAGTGGTTTATTTACATCTTGAAAAACAGATTTATTGAAAAGGATCTAAACTCCAAGAGAATTTGAACCATTCAAACATTTTTTATAAGAACTCAGAGATTCATAGACTTGTAAGCACAAAGACTTGCTAGCAACAGGCTTTGTTTTGTCTGTGCTTACTACACAAATAACTTCCTAGTAGAATTTATCAAAAGCTAATGGTCCACTCTTCTCTACAGGAATATTTTGAAGAAAACTAACAATACATTTCAAAAACCACTAAGATACAGGAAGATCACAGTATCATCGATTATGGCAACCAATGTGCTTTGGATACTAATTGTATCTTTAGTTAGTAAAGACTACAAAGTAAGTACATCTTGCTTGGGATTGTTCATGAAATTATTTGAGGAAGAGTATATTTGCTTCCCATGTGGCCATAGGTCTTCAAAGATGGAAAGTAAAGAAAAACAGAATAAAGAAAAACCAAAAATTAAACGGACAAATATTGAAAATTAATTTAATAAAAACAGATGAACTAAATGAGTTAATTACTATTATTTCTAAAAAGCATTACTACCATTCTTTAAAAAATGACATTAGTACAAAAATGTAGGTAAGAAAAATTTCTGATAGGGCACAGTATTAAAGAGCATCCAGCCTAATATCTATCATCAGTCTGCAAATTGTTCTTTCTCAGATGGACGGTCATTCTTTTTTCTTTGCATATTTTTATTTTTATTTACGTTTTTCAAATAGAGTTTAACTAATTACAAGCTGGTTAAAACTTCATAAGGTAATAGTTCCAAAATAACAACACATCAGGAATTTTTTCCTTTTAGAAATAGGAACATTGCTAAGATTTATGATATATTTTAGAATTAAGGCTGTGAATATCTAGAGAAATAGAATTTTGCACAGCTTATTGTATAACTTTCAAGTTTAGTGTCGAAATGTGTTATTAGGGTTTTTAAAACTTTCGTTTTTTCTTTTTAATACAAGTTATTTCACGATGCTACATTACTAAATTAATAATGAAATATAATTTCCCCAGGAATGGAAGATACATATAAAGATAGGCTGATGCTTTATAGGTAGTCTTATATCTCACCTGGCTAGTGGAACCAAGCTCACAGTTACCTGGAAGATTTTAGTATTCCTCTAGTTAACCATATGGTTTAATTGAACTATGAAATGTTAATGTTAAATCATAGTCTCAGTCACTCTAACACTTGTTCCTCAAAACTTCCTCTTCTGCAGAATATGCAAGCATTTTCAAGAGGGAATAGAAATCCAGACATTGCAATTCTTTTCACTGATAAATATCTTTTATGCATATTTAATTAGTCATCATTTGCAATATCTGATGCAATAATTATGCAATAACATTTGATTCTTATAAGATAGATCCCTTGAGATAACATAAAATATGATGCCATTTAAAGTATATTAAATATATTCATCTTCCTAGAATAGGAAACCACACTGTAAAGCCTAACCTAAAGCAAAGGCCAGTTGAAGAAATTAGTCTTTAAAATAAAAGTTGACTTTACATTCTTATTTTGAAAGATGAGTAGAAATAAAATTTGAGAAAAGAAAATAAACACTGACATGCTCCCATAATTATTCTACATTAGGGAGATAAATGAAATAATATTAAATATTTTAAATAAATTATGATAGTTGGAGTGTTCATTAAAAGAAAGCTCATTTGGTTCTATTTTATGAAACTTAGAAAATCAATACATTATTAAACAAAAGTGAGATGGTACAGTAACTATCATTTCATTGGACTTAGCCTTCAGTATAGTGCTAGGTACTTAGTTGGTGTTTAGTAAATATATGGTAATAAATGAATGACTGTAAGGCAACTGAGTTTATTAGTTTCTCACTTGCTTGACAGTGTTTCTGTGTATATGTGTGTAATATTTAAGTGGGCTCAGATTTAAGGTAACTTTCAAAGTTTAAAGACTTCAGATGAGTATATCTATATACTATATACCTCCTTATAAGGAATCGAGTGTACACATTTTAAGTATAGAATTGACATAGTAAAGATGTAATTTTTATCTATTTTCAAAGACAGGGAATTTTCAGTTAGAGGTATATGCCATAGGATAGGAGATTTTATGTCTGTGTTCTGTAAGCTATATAAGAAAATTTATACAAATTATATACATTGAAAATTGAAAATTCAGAATTAATTTTAGAAACTGGGGTCTAATGATAATTTTCACATCAAAAAGAGACAAAGGAATCAAACTACCACAGGAGTGATAATTCTTCTCCTGTTGGGTA